GTAGAAATTAAAATACTTCCGTTATCTAAACTTTCTAGTAGAATTTAAAATTCTCCTATAGTAGAGATTAAAATTTCAATTTCTACTAGTGCAACTTAAAATCGCCGCTTATTTTAATTTCTCCTAGCAGAAAATGAAATTTTAATTTCAACTAGTAGAATTTTAAATTCTACTGAATTTTCTTGCTTAGAACTTGGGCTTTTTAGTGTCATCATGAATTAAAGTTTAATTAACCTGGTTGGAAAATGTCAAAAGTTTTCTCAGATTCGAAGATAAAAGTATGAGTACAAATTTCTACTGGCGTTTGAAGTATTCAGCAAACGTATCTGATCATATCCCGATCATTCTGATTATTCCTTGTTCTAGAAAAAAGGCTCTTAAATGCTTTTCCTTTCAAGTATACCGATCTAAATTACTTCTTTGTTTAATTTTCGTTCAACAGGGAAAAAAGCTTCAAAGAGAACTGAACGAAAAGTCCAAAAATAGTTATGCATTAACTTTATGTGCTCTGTCTAATGAGGCTAGAATCACAGCAGAGAATTTTGTAGCTGAGTCGAAAAACGAGTTTTATTCTTAATTGAGTTTTTCTAAAAACTCGTCTATTCCGGATTGTGTGTGTTTCCGAAATGTAAAACCTTCAAGTTCGGATAAAGCTTAAAATTTTATGTATATTAGTAGATTATCAGTATGTGATTGAGAGACACCTTTTCTCACTGAAATCACAAAATAAAATAGAAAAATCTACTAAATGTTCTTATATCGATGACACGCTAGAAAAATAAGAACGTGTTTAGCATATGAGAAGAGCGAAAAGAGAGAAAAAAATATATTTACTCCTTTTCAGTGTACATGAACTTATATATATGCAGAACGGAAAAAGTAAAAAACTTAATTTTTAAACGGTCAGAAGTATATTTATGCAAAACCAATGTGATATTCGGAATCTACGAAAAACATTGCATAGAATAATATGTAATTCGACGCGTTTTGAAAAAAAAAGTTTTCATCCTAAATTTTAGGCAAAATACCTGAAGGGGGAGAGACCTCAGACGAAAATTTCGACGGAAATTTTTGGTCTACCTTTCAAGTCACCGTTTTTATGCCAGCATTTTTGCCTTGTTCGGAATAAGGCAAAAATCACATAGATTATGTCGACACCAGAGGAAACTTAAAATCAAATTATAAAATTTACGCTGTCAGCATATTCATTCAATTTTATGCATAGAGCTAAATTTTCTCGGCAGTCTGGAATTATCGAATATGAGCCTCGTCAAAAAATCGGTAGAACGTTGGTCATTCGATTCATGTATCATTATTTTTCATCGAAGTTTATTTTTCCTTAAAATTCGAGTGTACACTATAAAAAAATTTAAATTCTAACATAAAAATATTTACGATATTGTCTACTTCGGTCTCGATCGCATTCTCCTGATAAATGCCAATTGGAAGTTTGATACTATTTGTGTCATTTATTCTGATTTGAACACAAAGTCGAACCTTTTTGCAATCGCTATTACGTGTGAGTTCAAAGTTGATCGGCAAACGATCTTGGCAAATGACGAGCGTATCATAGTTTCTGGCAGTTTGATTATCATCCGACCAGTTATAATCATTGAGCCAACGAATGGATTCAGCTGATGCATATCGATTCACAAATTCATTTTTGATTTTATCAATCAACGATACGAAACGAATGAATGATTCGGTTGACACACTGGATGATATTGTCCTTGTTGATGATGCTAGTAAAGAATCAACTGAACTTTTCCCATGTGTTATTAGTTCGAGCATAAATCGAATTTGATATTCGAGTTCAAGGAGTGGCCATTGTTGTTTACAATTGGCAAAACCACGATCGAAGACAAGTTTGAGATGTTCCATGAATGATTTTGTTACACATTCGCCTAGACAAAATCAATCGAAAAAGAAAATCTTTCAGAGTTAAGCTAAGGAGTTAAAATAAGGAATATTCTTTTTTGTTAACCTGCTTCGGAAATCGATTTCATAAATATTATGTCTTCGACACCGTTCAGTTGATGTGGTGCTTGTCCATTTTCATGTCGTGAACACTTCGGGTCACGTCCTGTGATCATCCAGAAAAGAATCGCACAAATAAAACTTGTATCAATTGTTCGGCTGCGTTGATCTGAGTTTATTTGTTCAATATCTTTATCGGTAGTATTTGTATTCAATGATTGTATAGCGAATTGAGGTACTCGATAAAAATTATTGACTATGAGATCTTTCACTTGATCCAAATTTGACGAATCATTATTCGGTTGTTCGATCCAAGCAAAATCGAAGTCGATTAGACCCACATGGATTTGATCGGGCGACATCGAACTATCATAATTGATTAGAATGTTTTGTGGTGAGATGTTTCGATGAACCACATTTCGACTGTGTATCTGTTTTATCAAATGAACTAGTTTCAAGCTAATCATTAAGTTTTCTCGAATACAAAGGGGTCGCTGATTAATCAAATCATAGAGTGTTGTCGTTTCGATGGAATCTATTAGAATCCACAATTTTCTCGATGATTTTCCCTGAGCGTTTGTATTTTCCATTGTATCGAAATTGCTATCAATGATTTTTGGCACTCCATCAACTTCTAAACTTTAAGAAAAAAAGAAAACTCGAATATTCTGTTTCATTTATATGACACTGGTCGATTGTTTTTGCCTAGAAATCAAGCTCCAGAGAAGAGAAAATGAACAAAATCATATGTTGAACAGAATTGATAAAATTGTACCGTTTGCTGCAGAAGGACTGCATCATAAAAAAGTTGAGAGGAAACACTTTGAAACTTTACATTAGTAAAACAGCAAGATGAACACAAATTCAACAATATTTACTGGAATTCTAGTTTGGCAGAAACCGAAAAATTGCGAACGCAATGGCACATGTTGAAAAAGAGAATCCGTTACATTCCAGAGGAAGTCGAATATTTTCTTGAATGATTTAGAGAGCTGAGATTTTTAAGGTAGACTTCTTAGTCAATGAGTAACCGAATAGCGCAAAAGGAAGAATGTTCCTCAAGTTTGTTTCACAAAGCCACCAGAATCAAATAAAAAAGCCGAGGTACAGAAAACTTCAGTTTTACCAAAGTAAAAATTGCCATTCTAGGAGTGTAGAGCACTGTCTGCTTGGAACTGACATGATTTTTTTCTCCCAAAACGAATCAAGCATGTTCTGGATACGTAACAACATCTATTATTGAGAAACCAGTGGTTCCAAATAGAACGCAATTTTGCTGTCTTCCTCGTAAGCAAACTTATTACAATACCGATCCAACAATACACAACACGAATTTGCTGCAACATGGCAGCTCTACAGGAAAAATTCGATATCTCGATCAAAACGCACCATCAAGAACAAATGAAAAAATCGTTATAAACTCTAAGGGTTTATAATCATTAAAACCTATAAGGTTTAGTAAAACGCTCTTAAGGGTTTAGAAAATAACCTTTAGAGTTTTGTTGCAGTCAAATGTTCTACATTTTTCCCATTATGCGCAATGAATGTTGGATCGCATATCCATGTGGAAAACTGCAGAATGCGTTTTAAACTCAAATTAAGTAGTATGCCTGACGAAGGCACTGTTCATAGGTGCCTCGAAAAATCGGAATGAAATCAATTTTTTAAAACGTGGAAAAGCTTCCGTAATTACGAAAAAAAGAAGTAAACAAGCAGAAAGGGAGAGCAAGAAAACTTGATCAATCCCTTTCTGCACAAGCAGCTTTTCATGTGCTCCTTTTTCACTGTACTTATGACTGACTGAGTAGCGTGGTACCTTCTCTGCTGAAAGTGTTCGAGAACGTTTGTCAAAAAAAGATGACTAGTTTTGATTTCCCCCTTTTCTAAGGGAACTCGTATAAGAGTATTCCGCTCGTGTACAATCCACAAAACAGAAAGAAAAAAAATAAGCAAACAAATAGAACGACGATAGGGACAACCAATAGGAATCGGACATCAGACTGGATAAGAAAAAAGGACAGAGCAATAAAATAATCGTGTATTGACTGCCGTAGAATGTGCATCCGCTGTCGTGATCACAGAGCTCTACTTTCACTTTTACCTAAAAGCAAATTGCTGCTGCAAGCGTAAGAATATTAACTTTTGTGAAACTCCCTCAAAGTCTTCGAAGAAGACAGAGTTTCAGTTTTATACTCAAAAACCGCTGTTATCACGGGTTTTTTGAACCTACTTGAAATCTGATATCATTTTGGGTCACAACCTCTTAAAATTGC